TGTAGAAATGTCAATATTGGTATTAGTTTTGGTTTAAATTATGAAATCAGATAACGATTATGCCGGTAAGTTGTCCATAAGATTTGAATTCCAATTGCATCTGTATTAGTAGGCTAACTGAAGGAACAAAAGTATGCCGTGGAGAAGAATTCCAACTAGTGTTCCAGTCAGTTTGATACGGTTTATTTAGTTACGGGGAGATTTTCTCAACCTCATTTTTACTTGACCGTGATAGAATTTAGTAATACTACTAATACACATGAATGTTTATCAAAACAAAATTTAAATACGTAAGTGATGATTATATGAATTTTGGACAGATAGCTAGGAACAAATCGTTAAACATGAGTGTATTCGTAAGAGACATGCTCTAGACTCAATGTTCTGATCTGCGATAGACTATTTATTTATATTTATACTTGCCGGCTGATTGGGCATACAAGTTAGTTGCAGGTATGCAGTTTATCATAAGGCGGAATACGATTTAATTGAGATATAGTGGTTATAAGTTATTAAAATCACTTAGGCCTGTGTCATATTACGAAGTGATGTGAAGCTGCAAGATGTATTTAGCTAAATAAGTTTTTACAAGATGATTAATAGTGAGTGATGCTCATGTGATTATCAGGGAGAACATAAGTTGTAACCAGGGGGAGTACACTCCTAACTCATGTCTATGATAATGGCTTGAACCTTAGTCAGTGTTGGGGTAAATTCGACATTGATGTTTTCAGTTTGCAGGAGATTTGCTCGACTGCTTATACTGATTATTTGCATGCATGATTGTGTCGCTAAACCTCCAATTAGACTGACAAGGTTTTGAGATATTTACTGAATGAGCAACTGATAGAGAAACATACTGTAATCATCTGTAGCGAATGAAGATACCAAGAAAACAACACCAGTGATAATTGTAAGTCAATTTGCTGACCGATTTTGTTAATAGTTTCATTAATTTTATCAATCGTATTACGTAATTGTCAAGTCATGACAATGCTTTATGACGATATCCTGAAACTATTAAATTTAACTAGTTATAGTGTTGACTGAGGATTAGTCAGTGGAAAAATAGGTATTGTTGCTTTAGGTGATTCGAAATCATCAGAAACTTATAACGTTAAAGAATCCGAGACGCCTAATTTAATTATAAATTTTAATTCAGAAAGATTCGTTTAGTGTTAATTCTAGTAGGCTACGGAGTTTTGATTTTAAACGTTTGTTTAGCCAACAGCTACTTGGGGATTTAGTTATTTTACTAGTGCAGTTGATAGTACCTAAATTTTTAATCTTATTATCTAAATTATGTTCGCATTTTAGGCTGCTAATATGATAAACCAATCCATAAACCCAAATACGATTAGCAACAACGACTATGATGGGTTTATTGATAAATGTTAAAGGCGATTCAGATGATTTCTAAATTTAGAAGACATGGAGATATAGTGTGACGTATGTATGGGCCAGGTTAACATGCAGGTTGTTGACGTATATGACGATTTCAAAATAATGAACATGACCAGAAAATAGTTTTAAAGTTTAGACTGCTTGTGAAACTTCAGGCAGGTATATGATGCGTTATAAACCTTCCATAAGAAGTTACTGCATTTAGCTTAGTGACACTTACAAATATATGGCAAAAGCAACTGAAAAACATATACATGTTAAGTACAAAAAATCATTAAGTAAAATAGTTGAACTCGCCTTGATTATTTTTGAAAATTAGATTATTCAGTGGACGACATATATAACGTCATTCGTGAGTAGTAATGATCCAAAAGCATCCAGAATAAAACATGCAGTATGGCAATCACTTCCAGGGTGCTTGATGCTGTTGAGGTTTTTGGGACTCGCACTGATCAGAACAACTGAATGAATCCAGATAATTGTGTGCCATCTAAAATAAACTTATGATTGCAGAAAACTTATAGCTGGAACTCACCGTATTTTTGGAGAAGTGTCATCCTTGTTGTTTGGCAGTGGAACTCGAGAATATGAAATTAGGCAGGCAGTGGTCGGGAGAAAAGTTATTACAGGATAGTGCGTAGTTTAAAACAGGATGAGGTGTTAAGTGAAGGAACACTGAGAATTAGATCCAGATAACTATTTAGTCCTTGATCGCATTGTTAGTCAATGTATATTTACGCTATTTACAGGTCATATTTGCAAGAGCTTGATGTTTAAACAAGACTATGTCGCTGAAGCATGTAAATGCTATTACAGCTTGTTAACAAACCATCAAGGCTAATTAGTTAATATAGACGACCAGATTTTATTATCGATTGAGCTAGTTTGTCATGAGGACTAATCAATATAACATTACGATAATGCATGTGAGCATTAATCAGAGGACTATTAGAATACAGGGTTAACATAAATATAAAATCGATCGAGAAAGTTTAAGTGGATATAAGGATTAATAATAATAGGTTGCGTTTCTTTAGTTGGGCTCACCAATGTAGAATTATGATCTACCATTATATTAGTACTGCTCTAATAATAGACCTAATCCCAAAATTGTAGATTCGTCATGATATAACTGCCTAATCTATAAGATCTTACGTGGAAGTCACACCATCGACTACACCAACTCACTGTATCGTATCAATTACCAATACATGATGTAGAACAAGGTTAGGCTAGAGAAAGAACAATATATTTAATATGAATAGAAGATATAAGGTAACATTTAGCAGAGACCACGCCTGCATGGCCGAGCCATGCCACTCGATCAACTCCAGTCCATTCAATTCATTCTTCGCGCCTTCTCCATCGTTAGGTATTTATCCGCGTTAAATATTGAATATCTACTTTCTGAGTAGTCTCGTGTTCAGCTTTGTGGATTGTTTAATGCCACTACAGGTTCACTAAGAGCATGGATAGAGTGATAGTTAGTAGTGAAATTATCTAGCAGATCTTCACTCCCAGTAGAGATTGACATGTTGTCCAACGCACGAAGAACCAAGTCCATTACGTACTGCCCTATCCACAAGATGCTATGTCGAACACACAATTACCTCCATGAATTAGATCTTTAATATGTGCATACAGCATGTGGTCATTGAAACGTCCACAACCTACATCATACCCTTGTCGTAGCACCGGATGTATTCTCCTGCTCTAGATTCGTGTCTCATTTTCCTAAAGTGTTTACATTTCAAAGCTACGTTTTCAACTGTGAAATCACTAAGAGTTCGGGATGATATTTGAACCTGGAATTAATGGTACATTTAGCTATATTTCTTACCTCAAGCATTGTAAAACGTTGGAGATCATTTATAGCATCATATGGACGCAAAAGTAGGTCGGTATCCGTTTTATTTCAAATTTTCCAGAACGTCAGTAGAAGGGAACCACTTCTTCTGAAACATTCTTTTAAATGTTTATGGGCACTTTCGACACAACTTTTTGTGTGATTATCCAGACTGGGTACGTGCCACCGGTAACAGCGAGCCCACATTGACTTTCGAGCAAATCCGAACATAATGTGTTATGAAAAGAAAAGCTCATATGTCAGAACGCCTGGTTTTTACGAGATGTTCCATCAGGATTTATAAACTACAGCAAATAATTTGTACAGTTGACATTTCCCTCCCTGAAAAATATTCTTAAAATAAGGAACGAACACAGTATTATGTCGGCATGACTGCGCATAGACTATACTGCGAAACCCATAACGAAAGTACGGTTATCATAAATACCACACATTATGTCTTTGAATCATAACAGTTGTCCTATGACATCTACGCGTCGTTCTTGCCTGCAGAGAGCATATATAACAGTGTGCTCTTGCTCAAGGATATATGAAACCACTAGCTGGAACAGTGGAAAACTAAAATAAATTTATTACTATTCGTTACTTATCCAACATTGTTGGTCCGATAAGTCAATTCAATATATACTCCCCCTAAGTACTCATGGTAAATTGCTGTTTGCTTCATACTACTGAAGTAAGTCGTAGATATGCTCCCATGTTCATTAAATACCTTTACGTTATTGTTTGCTTGAACGCATCGTAAAATGTCGCTGATATTTTTAGTGTCCAGACAAAATAGTTAGAATGTGAGTTTAACAACCTTGGTACAACCAGATTGACAGTGGCAATATTTCGACTTGAAGGATAGATTTATTCGAAATAATGCGTACGCAGATGACTGATGTCGTTTTCTTTGTCTAGGTTGTGGTGATAAGTTAGAAGTTGTATGCTCTTTGGAAGAATAATGATCACTGTCATCATCTCCATCCTAAAGACATGTATCAGATTCTGACGAACTGAGTTTACGTTCATATGTACGGACATGTCTGACGAAAAAATACTTTAGATTTGGATTATCATTGTTCTTTTTGAATACTGACATAACGTACTTGGTATGCGTATACTGTAAAAATAATTATCAACCACGGAAGTCATATTACCTAACATACTTCCAAACAGGTCTCGAAATTGTCCCGACTTGTAACTCGTCTTGATAATACATTATCATTGAAGATTCGTCCTATGTCATGCATCATCACGACGGCATCGTCTTCGTTACTTGAAGGATAGACTTTTTAAGACATAGTGTGGTTAAACTTGATTCAAATCTCTAAATATCCTGATCTGAACGCATCTGCGAAACTTCGCTAATTGTCGAGGTGACGTAGCGATCATTTTACGGCATGTGCTAAGCAACCTCCATCACTGGACGATACTCATGAAGCGTTGCCCTTGAAGATAAGTGTTCACAAGCTGATTTCATGAATAAGAAAAATGATGTCAAAAACCCACAAATACTTTTATATACCGAAAAAATGAATAAATCAATACCGGTCTCATGATTGATTGTAGTTTAACTGATCTAAATAAAACTCCTGTGGTACTTACGATCAAGACTCTAACACTACCCTCATTCCAGCTAATGCCATTCTGGTCTGACGACATCGAAACCTGGTTATCCTGCGCAGAGGCTGACTTCAAAGAGGATGGCGTGGTAGAACCACGTGAACAGTTCTTCGCATTAGTGAAGGCGATACCGCGCGATTTCAACTGGTACGTCACACCTAGTGTTACACTAGTGATGCCTTTGAAACTTGCGAAACTCTGGAAAGGTCTATTCTTAAGTGCGGAGGTTTAAGCGATCGACATAGGTTAGATCAACACTCCAGTAACATCGATCTACAACACGGCTCAGCAACAGACGTTTTGCTATGAGTGAGAGAAGTTATTGGTCAACGGACCTTTGACGAGGGCCTGTTTAGACAATTTTTCTTGCCTAAGCTCCCTCAACAGGTGCAGGCAGTGTTTGTATCAATTAACAACAACTCTGTAGACGATCTGGGTGTGTCTGCTGACCGAATTCCGTAAATCACTAGTATTTCAGACGCCGAGGTCTACTCAGCCAAAGAAAAAACTCAAACGACACGAAATGACGTTACGGAACTCTGTCATACTTTGTAACGCTACCTCAGTATTTTCCATGACTAGACGATCCCAAACTCTTTGAAAGAGTGCTTCATGACAACGATCTGTCTCTAGATCACAAGAAACAGATCGTAGCGTAGGATAACCAGGTTCCGATGTCGTCAGGCCAGAATGGCATTAGCTGGACTAAGGATAGTGTAAGAGTCTTGATCGTAAGTACCACAGGAGTCTGTTCAATGATGAGGAATTAAAGGTATAGGAATGAACGAGAGAAAAAACATCCACAAATATGAGAAAAAAATATCATAATGTGTAAATATTAAATTAAAAAATATGATATATTAAGTTCTCATAAAGAGGAGACTCGCAGTTTGCGAATAGGTGTACCAGATCACGTCGGGTTCACCACCTAAGACGTCACAAGTATTTGGAGTTTAACAACACCTTAACCAGTAACACATATATTCGAAACGTGCCAACTGAGTGAGTTTATAAGCTAAGAGGTTCGAAGATATATTTGATAGAATATCGATGTATCGAGAAGTGACTAGCGGTAATAGGAGATGTGAAGCACAACGTACTGGTGCGGATGTGTGACCGAGCGCCTTCAGCTAGGTGGGTTCATTAACGCTAGTGCGATCAGCACCGAATATCGAAGACTTACAGAGCTGTTGATTTTGTGTATTTATTGATCGCTATATCTCTGTTATTACAAGATTTTCAAATGATTGTTTTTCAAAAACTAACACCAATATTTTGAAGAATAATTCACTGCTAAATTAAACATGAACTAATGATCTTCAATCAACTTAGAATATTGGGTTCTGTGATTCTGGGAGTACAATTGTCTTTTTGGGTGTTATCCTTAGTCTGTATTGGCGAAGCTGTGATTTTCCGAAGGCCTCTTGGACTTACAATATGCTGGAGTATAGTCTTTAGGATGCACCTCAACAGATTAATAATTTGTCATCTAAAATTCATATTCCATATTAAATGGCCGTACACATACGTGCTCTGTAAGTGACTTTTGTGAATAACTTATATATTTACAAGTTATGGAGAGGATTTGAAAATATGGATATTTCGATTTCAATTCTTGTGAGCGGTACCAAGACAGTGTTGTACCACGCCTATATAATGGCCGTCTTTCACTTTACGAAGATTACTAGTCTTTTGGTGTAGGTTAGCAGCCGCCCAAATCTTGGGACTCGAGGTCTAAATTCGATATCATCATTACATGATAATCTTAGTCTTTTCAAATCGTTGATTATAGCTTTAATCGTAATCCTGTTTTACATTTTTTAGATATCTGATAGTAGATGGGCGTCCTGTTTATCTGATTGGGTCAAAGATACTCATCTGCTTTATAGTCTTTGATATTCTTCTCAACGTTTGAAGTTTTGCTTTTCCTAACTGATGGAGGATGACTTACAACGTAAAGTCATCAAACAACGTTTAAAGCAGTTTTATGGAAGTAATACAAACAACTCACTGGTTGATCAGAATGATCCTTTAAATATTGACAGTCCATCCTTCGACCCACAATTGTACTTGGATAAAAGTCTTAAGACTAAAGACCTTTCTGATCTAATATCAGAAGAAAAGGCCCTAACCGATCAGATTCGCAGTCTGGATTCCGACATGCAAACACTAGTATATGACAACTACAGCAAATTCATTAGTGCAACCGACACCATTAGAATGGTATGTCTTATTTTTTCTAGGAAACAAATAATTTTCAGATGAAATCTAATTTCAGTTACGTCCAGGCCGAAATGAATTCATTACTTCAAAATATTGCCTCCATTGTTTCAGTTTCTGGTACGATTAATGGAAATTTAGCTGATAAGAGAAAGAAACTGGGTACACTGACAACTACCCAGTTGACTCTAAACAAAGTAAGATCAAAATTTTGAGTAGAACTAACTAAAGTAATGTTTCTAGCTAAACTACTTAGTTGAACTCCCAGTCAGCTTAAGGAAATATATGAACAAGTGTGATTGGGATCAAATTGTACTTGACCTTAATAAAGCGAAATACATTTTAAAGAGTTATCACAATACTCCATCTTTTAAGAATATTCGTGAGGACTGCGCTGAGATAGTATCGGAAATTTGTTCGAAACTATGGCGTCAATTTGATGAGTCTGTAAGTCGTTAATTCCATAACTATTTTCCAGAGCGATATGGCTGAGTGTTCTAATCGTCTAAAAATTCTGCAGCAGCTTGGTTTCTCGAGACGAAAATTGTCAAAAGCGATATTACGTTTGTGGGTAACAACACTTTAATTTTACTTGTTAGACTTTCGCCTATCATGCTATATTATACAACTGAGTATTCACGCAAATTTTTTTTTGACAGGTTTTGTTAACATTTAGGGACTAAAGGTATCCATGGCTCTATAAGATAAAATGACACAGAAACTCTGAGCTAACAAACACTCATGTTCAAACTGATTACTGGCATTAAGATATCTTGTACAGTAATTTCTTCCAGATGTGTGCCGTTGGGAGAGACTTTTAAGTAGATGCTATTCGCATTAATTCAGTGCGTTATAAGATGTAGCTAAGTTTATCCCACCGTCTTATGATGTCGTACGTTTGTTAAAATTATCGTAAGACTCTCGGTTTCGTTTGACTGACTGGCCTTCAATTTTATGAGGCTTGTTTTACTATCGGTTTTACACTAATGGACAACTTATTCTTTCTTTTCAGGGCTAAACGTCAAGTATCTCAACGTTTAGCTTATATTAAGACTTTGGTGTGTGAAGGAGACAAGCGAAGTGTTCAGAAAGAAGAAACCGTTGGTTCTGCTGAAAACATTGCGAATCCATTTGTCCAAGAGTCTTCTTCTGAAGAAATGGTAGGGTATTATGTATTTATTAGCCAGTTATTTTTGATGAGCGTGAATTACATTTTAGGGCATATGTCACTCCTGGGGTAATATATATGAAGCAGTTGACAGAAAAGATCGAAACTATGTTGAGCAGCCACGTATTTGGTGATGCACTTGTTTTTGATAATTAGTATGAAAAGCCGACATGAGTATGGGTTGATTGTTGTTTCTTCATATCTGCTCATAACTGAGATAGGGAATATTTTTAATATGAGCAATCAACGTTTAGGATGAAGTATCACTTTCATCTTTACTGCTTCAGTGTTGATCATACTTAAAAATCCCCGTCTAATTCAAAGAAATGGTCAAGTTTCATGATTTACATGCATCTTTAAATCATGAGCCCATATGTGAACCCATGCATTAGGTTCCTTTCAACAAATTAAGTAAAGTGAAATATAAAGAATTCATTTTATTTTAGAGCTGTACTCACCTTTATACAAGCTGGTAATAGTTCATTCGGAATTTCACCAAAGATTAATATGGTTGAAAATTAGGAAGTGAATTGTCTATCAGTAGCTTGTAATAGTTTAAATCATAGTGGCTGACGATTGTTGATATCCTTTTAATGATTATAAAGAGTTCGTCAACGTTTCCCAGTATCCGTAATCTACCATGTAAGCTTGATACTTGAATTCCTACCAAAGGACTGGAATCTTATCCAATTTATCATATATTCTACCTTTAGAAAAAAGGTGGCGGGAATAGGAACTGGTACGTTAGACCATCGTGTTATGCGAGAAGTTAGCGGATGAGGTTATAGAAAACTTGATGTCGATTGTAATTGATTGATTGACGTTCCGCATAGCTCTTTCAATTTATCTCATTTTCGTTTCGCTGATAGACTAAATGGTTATAAGTTGAGCTATAAATTGTATTACATTATATAAAATAGCTTGACTACTTTATTTAAAGGAAAATTGGCTAATATTTGTTACCTCATTATCTTAACAATTAACGTAATTTATCTAAAATTTTTTCTTCACCCAGGACGTATTATACTTCGCCAATCTCATAACGGATTCTGTCCTCATTAAGCTTTCTGAATTTATTGGACTACTGGCCGATTTTTATTTCACAAAGTCAGATGAAAGTGAACTTATCGATACTATTTTGTAAGTATGGCTTTCCAATCATAGATGTGATAGTTGAATGACTTCAATCGTTAGTATTATTAAGTTTATGAGCAAAAGCAAGGGATTAAATAATGATTGTGTTGCCCATATTACTTTCATTACATGCTGGAACCAATCGTATCTCTTATTGGTCGTAAGATACTATCAGTTCGTGTTGAAATTTCTAGTTACTTGATTATATTTACACTAGATTAAGCAAAGAAACTGTCTTTTATTCCTTCCATAGGGATGTCATTTCTGGTAAAACAGAAAATAGTGCCTCAGAAATCGATGATGGTTCTTTTGAGGAAAATTTGTCAAATTTGGTTGAAGAACTGATGCATGAATTTTTTATTTTGGTTCGAACTCGTTTTGAATCGGAAGTCAGTTTCTCAAGTATAAATAATAAATGTTATTTTTCAGTATTCATGTTCGAAACATAAAGCCTTTCAGAAATTTTATGAACTTTGATTTATGTACAATAGCTCTTAGCGTTCCATATTTCCAAGTATTTTATTTCTCAGACATGCGAGTATTTGATTAATTTATCTTGAACTATCCATGTAAACTTATCAACATGCTCATCTGTTAAATGGTAACATTATTGAGACTGACTGAATGATGGTCGTGTTATGTTTAACCTTACTAAGCGAACGTGACAGACATAAGGTCCTGTATACTTTGTTAGAATTTTGTACCTGGATTTCAGATATGTCGAGTGGATCAATAGGAAGAATTTCCGTTGTTGTGAACAGATCTGCTTAATTTCTCAACCTTCCTCAAGATGTGGAAGCGAAGGTGGCAATTTCGAATACCATGATTTGTTTCCGAATAGCTACACCAGAAGACACATCTGGGAACAATCTTTCTGGTAACAAACACATTTAGGATTAGTTTAGCAGAATGAAATCTGTAATAAAGATGAGCTGCTGAGTAAAATAAAGATTAAAGTGAAATTGAGTACAAAGCTAATGGAAATAAAATGTTGCAAGTAAATAGGATGATATGTAATAGATTTGTTTATCAGGAAATAATTATGGATTGTGAGCGTTTGTCTGTAAGACTTGTAATTCACATTATTTGTAATTGTCATGGTTGGTCGTCAGGCTACTAGACTGCCCAGTTATCCAGATAGGAGAAGTTGGTTTTCTGAAGTAACCACCTAAGGGGTTAATTTATCGGACAATATAGCATATGAATCTCTAGTTTGAGGTCAAAACTCAAATTTTATTGGTGATCTCCCCACCACTCAATTATATCATCCATATTCTCTCACTTTTTAAGGAACACTGCCGCATTAAGGATCGAGTAGAACCTCCTTATAAGGGGCTGTGAATGTGCACTTTGAGAGAAACGGTGGGATTTTTCCTTTTATCAGGACATTTGAAGACCACATTTATTCCCATTCATCACAAAGCTTTTTGTATTGACTGATATCCAGTATCATTTTAATCGAGTATCCTCAGTGCTTACAAATTGTCACATCTTATTGCTGTAATTATTAATTTACAATCGTTTTTTTAAATTTCTGTTTATGCTTCAATTTCTAGAGCACAAATAATGATGTCAATTTGTTGATAAGAGCTTTGGATCGTATTCACTGTCGAGTACAAACCTTTAATCGGTCACTGTTAACATCAGTTACTTCTGTAGATTTTGAAGGTGTGCTATTGGATGATTTAAGTCCTGAATCGCTATCTATAGTGAATCGATTCTCTTTACTTACTAATCAGTTTTCAAAGTCGGCTCTGGAAATAATTAATCAAGTTGCTCGAATGCAAACTACTTATTACTTTGATATATTATGCCAAAATGCAGTTGAATCATTTACGGATCTCCGACATAAACTGGCTAGTCATGGATTACAAACATCGAATTCAACTAATGAAGAAGTCAACAAAGTGTAAGCCAAGTTATTGATTTGTATTTAACGGGATTTCTTTTAAAAAGAATTATTTCAACCTTATAATATGTTCAGAATGATTGTTTCGATGAATCCTATCGACAATGAATATCAATCTCACGATTTATTGTGCCCCAATCGTTAATCAAAGCTAAGTCAGTGGTATCTGTTTCCGGAGTATCTTCATATGTCTAAAGGATCTGGTTACAACCTTTTACCATAAAGTAGGTCATACTCCGCCTGGAGTCCCTCCGGGGGCTACTGCCGGTCCCAAGCCCGGATAAAGGAGGAGGGTTGGGCATGGGGTTAGCGTCCCCATCCCGTAGAAAACTAACTCGCTAAAAAAACGCTAACCAGAAAAAATTATTCAAACCTTTTAAACTCTGCCCTGGGAGTCAGAAGGTCTTCATTTAGAAGAATTATGACGCCTCATGATGAAAGCCGAATTCCTTCGGAAGTTACGAGGCCGATGCCCCTTCTGACAACCAGAGCAACCATTTATTTAGGTACATGGAATGTTCGTACAATGTGGGACACCGGAAGAGCCTTCCAAATTGCTGCAGAAATGAGAAGATACAACCTAGAGGTACTTGGGATCAGTGAAACACATTGGACACAAGTTGGACAACAACGACTAACTACAGGAGAGCTCCTGTTATACTCCGGCCATGAAGAAGAAAATGCACCACATACACAAGGAGTTGCATTGATGCTGTCCAAACAAGCGCAAAATGCACTTATAGGATGGGAATCTCATGGACCAAGGATCATCAAAGCCTCCTTCAAAACAAAGAAAGAGGGCATTTCAATGAACATCATCCAATGCTATGCGCCTACCAACGACTACAATGAAGACGCTAAAGATCAATTCTACAATAGGCTGCAGTCAATCGTCGAGAAGTGCCCAACAAAGGACCTGACCATTCTGATGGGAGATTTCAACGCCAAGGTTGGAACGGACAACACTGGATATGAAGACATCATGGGACGACACGGACTGGGAGAAAGAAACGAAAATGGTGAGAGATTTGCAAATCTATGTGCCTTCAATAAGCTGGTCATAGGCGGCACCGTATTCCCACATAAACGCATACACAAAACCACATGGACTTCACCGGATCACTCTACACAAAACCAAATCGACCATATTTGCATCAACAAAACGTTCAGGAGGACTATAGAGGACGTGAGAACCAAGAGAGGAGCTGATATAGCATCAGATCATCACTTACTGGTCGCCAAGATGAAATTGAAACTCAAGAAGCACTGGACAACGGGGCAGACAGTATCACAAAAGTTCAATACGGCCTTTCTTCAGGATACTAACAAACTCAACAAATTCAAGATAGTCCTCAGCAACAAGTTCCAGGCCTTTCATGATCTACTCAATGGAGAAGGAACTACTGTGGAGAGCAACTGGAAGGGGATCAAAGAGGCAATCACTTCAACATGTCATGAGGTCCTGGGTCACAAGAAGCACCACCACAAGGAATGGATCACTGTTGATACACTGGATAAGATTCAAGAAAGAAGAAACAAGAAGGCAGCGATCAATACCAGCCGAACAAGAGCAGAAAAAGCTAAGGCACAAGCTGAATACACGGAAATAAACAAACAAGTGAAAAGGAGCATCAGAACCGACAAACGTAAATATGTGGAAGATTTAGCAACGACGGCGGAAAAGGCTTCAAGAGAAGGAAACATGAGACAATTGTATGACACGACAAAGAAGCTCTCTGGAAATCGCCGCAAACCAGAACGACCATTGAAAATCAAGGAAGGCAAGGTAATCACCCACATTGAAGAACAACGAAACAGGTCGGTAGAAAACTTCAAAGAACTCTAGAATCGACCAGCGCCACTGAACCCACCCAACATCGAAGCAGCACCCACGGACCTCCCAATCAATGTTGGCTCACCAACAATTGAAGAAATCAGCATGGCCATCAGGCAAATCAAGAGTGACAAAGCAGCAGGACCGGACAACATCCTGGCAGAGGCACTAAAAGCAGACGTAGCGGCAACTGCAAGGATACTCCACATTCTCTTCAATAAGATTTGGGATGAGGAACAAGTACCAACAGACTGGAAAGAAGGACTTCTGATCAAAATACCGAAGAAAGGCGATCTCAGCAAGTGTGATAACTACAGAGACATCACTCTTCTCTCAATACCGGGAAAAGTCTTCAACAGGGTATTGTTAAACAGGATGAAGGACTGCGTAGACGCCCAACTTCGAGACCAACAGGCAGGATTCCGTAAGGATAGATCGTGTACAGACCAAATCGCAACTCTACGGATCATTGTGGAACAATCAATTGAATGGAATTCATCACTCTACATCAACTTCATTGACTACGAAAAGGCATTTGACAGCGTGGACAGAACAACACTATGGAAACTTCTTCGACACTACGGCGTGCCTCAGAAGATAGTCAATATCATACAGAACTCATATGATGGATTACACTGCAAAATTGTGCATGGAGGACAGTTGACAAAGTCGTTCGAAGTGAAGACCGGTGTTAGGCAAGGTTGCTTACTCTCACCGTTTCTCTTTCTCCTGGTGATCGACTGGATCATGAAGACGTCAACGTCTGAAGGAAAGCGCGGGATACAATGGACATCTAAGATGCAGTTGGATGATCTAGACTTCGCAGACGATCTGGCCCTTCTATCCCACACGCAACAACAGATGCAGGAGAAGACAAACAGCGTGGCAGCAGCCTCAGCAGCAATAGGTCTCAACATACACAAAGGGAAAAGCAGGATTCTCCGATACAACACAGCATGCACCAATCCAATCACAATTGACAGAGAAGATTTGGAAGATGTAAAAACCTTTACATATTTGGGCAGCATCATTGATGAACAGGGTGGATCTGATGCAGATGTGAAGGCGCGGATCGGCAAAGCAAGAGCAGCATATTTACAACTGAAGAACATCTGGAGCTCAAAGCAACTGTCAACCAACACCAAGGTCAGGATTTTCAATACAAATGTCAAGACAGTTCTACTGTATGGGGCAGAAACCTGGAGAACTACAAAAGCCATCATCCAGAAAATACAGGTGTTTATTAACAGTTGTCTACGCAAAATACTTCAGATCCATTGGCCGGACACTATTAGCAACAACGTACTGTGGGAGAGAACAAACCAGATCCCAGTGGAGGAAGAAATCAGGAAGAAGCGCTGGAAGTGGATAGGACACACATTGAGGAAAGCACCGAACTGCGTCACAAGACAAGCCCTCACATGGAATCCTGAAGGTCAACGGAAAAGAGGAAGACCAAAGAACACATTACGCCGAGAACTGGAGATAGACATGAGAAAAATGAACAAGAATTGGATGGAACTAGAAAAGAAGGCCCAGGACAGAGTGGGTTGGAGAATGCTGGTCAGCGGCCTATGCTCCATTGGGAGTAACAGGCGTAAGTAAGTAAGTAAGTAAGTAAGGTCATACATTCCAAGGTAACCAAGTAGTCTTAAGCGTGCGGTAAGGAATACCAGCGTGATGTACTTTGATTGCAATCACTGGTTAGACGTCGATTGATATTTTCTACGGAGATACTTGCTGTTTGAGATGCCTAAGGTTATTAGTTGTTCATGGAAGTTCTGCTGTCAGCTAGTTGGATGTCAATTCTAACCGTACACAAACTAATTTCAGAATAAAATCCATCTTAAGCAGATAGATTAGTTTTAACCACTGCCTGGATTCATTGACCAGTAATTGACGATGCCTTTAATATGACAATCAAATGAATAGATTTAAATGGTTTCACATCCAAGTAGTCATACGGTTGAATGCTTGAAGATTAAACACAGGCTCTTATTAACATTCTTTCTTGATCCTGTAAATAATACTAACGTTTCCTCAGATATCTAAGGGGTATCACACTCCCATCATCACGTTTGAAATACACAATAAATGGCTGTGCTCTGAACTGCAGTTGTAGCGCAATGATAGCAATTTTCCAATCATTAGCCTTTGTTTTTAAAGTAAATGCAGAAGTTAACACAGTTCATTACAGTCTGTTTCTAAGTGTTTTGGATTCTTGACCTGATATTTATGAACCACTTCTAAGTAAATTTATACCCTTAAAGTTCACAAGTTATAAGGGTCAATTTCAAAGCTTCTCTTCACCAAAGCGTAACTGCTTTAGGTAACTATCTGTATGAACGTCTTATATAGGCATTTTTAATAGTCTCAAGAATCTGATCTTCCAAAGATTTTAGTTCCTTAATTACTGGCACAGTTATTTTAGTAACTGACTGGGTTAGCTTTATAAAGCATTGGCGGAAAACATCCTCATATTAATCGTTGATTTCTAGTTTGATGTCATATAAAAGTTTGTTTGGTTTTTGTGGTTCAGTAAAATCTAGGTCAATAATAGTGTTCTTAAGCAGTTCATAGGGGCCCTGGATGTCAGTGCCGTGTTATATCTGTTCTATTCATGAGTTTGGGTACTTTGCCAACAGTGGTAAACAGACATATGTAAGAATATCACGAAAGCTTGCCTCCGAATAAGATAACTATTCTTTCGCTATAAGTTGCTGGAATAATATAATTTCAATTTCAAAGCTTGATAGTGAGTTAACACGGATTAGTTTTCGGGGTAGTAAAGTAAAAAAAATTAATAGTACCACGACATACTAACATTTACCAAAGGAGTATGTAGTAGATCAAACTTGACGTTTCAAGTCACGTATATCTTTTATTTTGTAGGAACAAGATTGGAAATAACAATCATCAACTTTCATCACTTTTAGATGCTCTCAGTTCGTCACTTGTTTCACAGTTGCGCGATGTACTAAAAGCGGAAGAGGTAGACATCTTTTTGTGTTTCTTAATTTTATTTAGTAATAGTATTGTTTTTCACTGAAATTGCAGCTACTTTCTGAACTTAGCAACATCCATTCTTTGTTCCATCTTGTCACTCTGCATATCCCTTTTGCAGCCTTATTCGACTTTATTCCTGTTCTGACGATTGTTTGCGTTAAGGTACTCAGTCTTCAATCGTTAAGTTACTTTTATTCATTCCTCTTTACCTGCTAAGATTTGGATAGCCATAATGTATTGGTGATCGCTACACAGCAAATATAATTGTTTGCCTAATATTATTTTATTGATAACTATTTAATTTTAACATAATGTAAAATCTTGTGTTATAAACTCCAAGCCACAAATGATATGTGATATTAATTACCTGTCTAAAACTAAGATAAGGTTAAAATCAGTACCGCGATTGTTTAAAGCCGAATATTTGAAAATCAACTCAAAACCTGCCTAGGAAGCTTTAAAAGGTGCAAAATATTTAGTTTAAGAAATTCCGTTTGATAAGTAACAGTCAAATTTGATGTATTTGTGGTTGTGGTTTAGGATTTGAATTCCAATTAATCAGAAGTTTGGCTTTTTATTTATTTCCATCTATCTGTATGTTGTCAATTTGTATACGTTATTGTACGTTGCTATTCATGAAACTTCATATAATTACCAAGTTGCTGAAATATCTGACTAAACTAGTATTGTATCTTCCTTTCGTTGTAAATTGTTTATTACGGTTTATTTAAAAGCTCACTGGATTAATCACTAGAATACATTTTACTGGTTGTTTTTCAAGTTTCCTAGGTAACAACACTAATGCATCACCTTGTGCTACAACCCTTCAGCGATCGGTATATGTTGTGTCTAGAGCATTTTTGTCTACCATCTGAATAAAGTGTTTATTAATTGTTAGAACAATCATGAAGTATCGTTAACTATAAGTTGTTAATTTTACATAGTTACTATCTGATAATCTGTTTTATTTCTTTTCAGGCTTTCCTTAGTACTAATAGTACATTTTCTAGTAGACCACAATTTCGTAATTCATTTTGCATTGATCAAATTAGAGAAGGACTTATCGTTGGTTACTTAAATTTTCTTGTTCAATTTCTTAGTGATCTAGCTAAGGTAAATTCACTTTTATCGCATGTTTTTCATGTTTTAATTTTTTATATTTATGAATATTACTCAGATATGTTGTGTTTCAATTCTTATCTTTTCCCACTAATCCAGGAGGAAAGATACTGTAAAACTCGGTTAAAAAGTAACTGTTGCATATACTTTATCGATCACTTATTCATTAATTTAGTTTTTGCATTATGCTATTGTGTTTATTTCTGATAATATATTTTTAGTCACTAGTAGTCAAATCTTGGATTCTCGTTTTTTCCTTACTCTTCAACGAAACATATACCGTCATTTGTTAATATTTGCACTAAAGTAATATCAACTCTTTTCGAAAGGATACTAAAAGGCCTTAGCTTGATCTCCTTCGTCAGCTGTTACTAAAATATTGTCAACTTGAGGTCAATTGTAATATATTATCTTCAGTAATAGATTCACTTGCTCACAGAAACCATCTCATAACTAGCCGATTAATATCGAGAACAAAACACATCAGTTGGTTACGATGATCTCAATTAGTGTTAGAGGTAAATGGACCCCTATCTACTCCCTGTTCTCCTTACCATGAAAGGATATGCAACATGTCCTTACCTTATGCTCTCTATATACGCTGAGGATTTTTATTTCTCGTTTCTTGTCTTGTTTTCTTATTCTTTTTTAGACAGCTGTATGCAAAATTCCGGGTCCTATTTTACTAACACTTGGAAAATTATGTTTAATGTGGGCTGATTCTGGTACAGTTGGACATTTGATTTCTCTGGCCGACGATTTTATACTTTTCGGTAATGATTATGTAATTTTGGTAATGATGATAGCGATCTCTAAAATTAAACGTTTTCAAGAAACTAAACTTCATTGGCCCCCATATGCCCTGGTACGGTCGAGAGTGCGGAGAGTTCGCTCTCCCTCTCGAAACGCTCTCACATGGTCACGTGTATATAGCCTCTGCCAGGGAAGTCCTACTCACTGCCTTCTCGTGGCTGGGGTGTTGTTTACGAGATTGAGCGGACGAAAAGTGAATGTCCGGCGCTTTAACCGGGTTGGTGGGCACGGGGAAAAACCTGCTTCCAAACCAGTGGTGCACATGGGCTCCAGGGTCCTGAGGTAACAAATAGTGTATGGACCAACTGTTGGCTACCATGGGACTGCATCTCCTTGCGATGCTCCACTGCCTTGTGGATCAGAATTTTAGGTCGAAGGCTCCTGTTGTGGCCCCCTAAGAAAACCACCTGCTTCAGTTTGGGCACCCGAGCAGTATCACAGCCCTCACACAAATTAAATGAGATTTGTGTTTTGCATATGTATTTGGTGCTTCCTTGTACCAATATTTATGTGTTCAAATAATAATAATAATAAACTTAATTGGTAATGGTTATTTGGTGAATAGTTCACTGAAGTAGTTTGTGACTTCTTGCGTAATGTGAAGACAGTTTTTAATCACGGATTGACTTTGATTGGAAGCTGTAGAAGATTCCAGTGTATTGAGTGTTTCAGTTTACTCTCACAATTTTCTGTATTGTGCAATCTCAATGTGTGGTGAAGTTCCTTAAATTTGAAATGAATCGTTAGTTGTATTCATATGTAAAATAAGTAAATGCAACGGAATATCTACTTAAAGCTTTTACATTCTATTTTATGATATGTTACTCATGAATTAAGGATAATATACGTTTGTGAAACCTAAGTTGATGCAATGCAACGTAAATTTAGATTTGACTAAGAACTTGATTATCTGAATTGGCGAGTTATAACTCAATAGAAAGGTTAGTCTGTTCGTTCCTATTTGACATATATGTCACCTTAATCAGTCTATTAACCTAATCCTGAATAATAGTGATTATTCATTTCGTCTCGTATAGACATACTGTGTACGTAGATTCTAATTATTTTATAGTGTGATTAGTTAACTGGCTTCATTGGGTAATGGATATGTTACATATGGCCAGTAAGAGTAGAGGATATTCGTAGGTTACTAGTATTTGATCATAGGTGTCTTCGAAACATTGCTCGTATATCCTGGGACTATCGAGTAAGTAACGCAGTTGTTAGGAAACGGGTACTAGGTAAGGATGGCAAATCAATTGATGACGTGGTGAAACTTCATCAGTTGAAATGGCTGGGACACGTGTTACGTATGCCCAACCACCGACTGCCTCGACGCACGATGTTCAGTGGTATAGGAGTAGGTTGGAAGAAAGCTGGGGGCGGCCAGATCAAAACATGGCACAAATCCATGAAGTCATTGACAAGTGGACTGAGTCATGTTGGTAGGTGTAGACTACCTGGTTGGGGACCGCGAGATGATAGCAACCGATGGTTAGAGACCCTGAATGACATGGCTCAAAATCGTTTGCAATAGTGTGAGCAAGTGCATCCACTCTTTGTGTTCTCCCAAATTTTGATCTCCTTATTCCTCCTTGTCTCTTTTTTCTCTTCCCAAATTTATTTCACTGTATTATACTCTTTAAACAACATCTCCAAACACTAATTTCCCCGATTGCTGCTTATACTCTTATTACCTCTACCACTACGGGATTTCAATCGACCACTGCATCTCTGCTAATGTGGTGTGGCAACTCGAACTGATGTACGTACGTATGAAGTTCTACGTTGTTACTGACTGACTGACTGGATATGTTACATCAAATAACAATCTCATTGATCTAGGATCTGTGAATCCTCCAAATTGTCGACCGAATTTCCCACAGTATGATCGATTTCTTATGATATTAATACTTTTTCATTACCAAATGCCATATGATTACGGTCAGTTTATTTGCTTGTTGGTTGTCAATTTTTTTTCAGGCTCACAAACTAAAGAATCAAAAAAGGAAGATTTTAATACAGAGAATGGTAACAGATCACTCACTACTCCAAAAGATGTATCAAATCGTTTCAGGTCTACTGGTAACGAGCTTCTAGTTGCTTTTGTTCGCTTAGAAGGTACAAATTTGGCACAACTGCTTCGCAAGAGTGTTGAAGCAAGGGATTGGCTGAAAAATTTGGAACCACGTACAGTTCGTTCTGCAGTTAAAAGAGTGATAGAAGATTTAGCATCACTAGATCAACAAGTACGTTAAATACTATTAATATTTAACACTAAATTTATTGTGATCATCCATTTTCATTTTACTTCACAACTTATTTATCGTTTATGCTTATAATATCTGCGTTTTTTCTAACTGTTGACTTGGGTTTTATTTGTTCATCAGTGTTTTTGGTGCCTATTTTCATCTCAATTCCAAGTCAAGTTCATATACTAATTTTTATCTATGTTCATGTTTAGGTCAGCCAGCTGTTTTCATCAAATACTCGTAATCGTGATCGTATTTCTGATTCACGTTCCAGTCGTAGTCTACGACCTAGCACTTCATCACATCTTATAGACGCTACACGAACTGGAAGTTCAAGTCAAGGATTTCATTCTCCTGACTTAGATCCAACTCTAGCTACTCATTTACGCCGTTTATTTACGCAAAGAGTTGATATTTTTACTGCAGTTGACGCGAATCGGGAATCACTACTTTTGGGTGTCATTAAAATAGGTTTAAAGGTTAGCCAAGTTTTCAGTTTCAGTTGTTGCACTGCATATTTATTGTATGTTGTAACCAAGTATTATCACTTTGTAAGATTTGAAAAAGTTGTCAATATGGTGAGTAAGAAATAGTGAATTCCACTATCCGTTTTCTTTCGATAGGGCTTTACATAAAGTTTTATAGTGAAATTTAGAATAGTTTAATAGTTAAACTACAATTCAACAAATATAATCCATTTTTCCTGGAAACATCGCTGTAATCTAGTCAACTTTTCACATCTCTGATTAGTAAATGTTTTGTATCAATTCACTCGATGAAAGGAAAGTTGGTAAATGCTTGTGTACTCATCAACTTAATACGGATTAACTCAATCGATAATCGGTATTTATTTTCATCTCTTTATGTGACAATCATTTTCTTGTCATAGCTTGTTTTGTTCAACTGTATGTTATGAAGTAAACCCTCTAAAAATTAGTAACTAAGTAGTAGTTGGTCTGTGAATATTAATTCGAAATTTGAATCTTATATAACTTTGAATAGTTTTGTATTTCACCATTAAGCACACTAGGTTATGGTGTTTTACCACTACGAAGCTCATTTTGTTATTAGTTATCAACAAGTCATTACCTAAGTATTTCCAGAGACATTGTCAATTTCGTTGCTTTTTACTTCTCTAAACTCTCAATCACCAATATCTACATTTTTTGATAGTTATGTGCAAAATCAATCCATCAATTTACTGGTTGTTTAACTGAGTTGTGTGAGCAGGTTCAGGTTATTAGGTTGGGGAGGGATGAAGTGGCCCAGGATCAAAATGGGGCAACCTATAACCGTGTTGTTGAAAGCAGATGATCTTACCAGTCTCTTCATTCTCGTTCCTTTCTCCCAGTTCATGTCCCCCATGATGGGTTCATACCGGGTGTTTTTTCTTCTCGGCGTCGGCGTTTACATCCTCCATCAAAATAGATGAGTTTTCCTGATCATTTCTGTAAGTCTCTCATAAAGCTGATCTTTATCTTCGCCATGGGTTTCTCACCTCATAAGTGCTTCTCATGTTTCTTAGGACGGTATCAATGGAACTCCTTGTGTGTGGAGCGTTTTCTATTTCATGACCACCATACCATAACAGCTCTTCTGAAGTTAGTCTTTTTTCATTCAGATTGTATTCATTGGTTTTCACTTACTCTAAGCATGAATAGTTTGTAAGGAAATTTGAATGACCCTCCCGGTTTCCCACATTGTGTGGGCATCCCATGTACTCATATTATTTGTTTCTCTTTGCTGTTTCAAGCATAGATCATTGACAACTTTTCTAATGTTAGACTAAGTGATTGAAGGTTCGGATGTCAGTTTTTTATAGATCTAACTTGTTAAATGGCAAAGTGTATGAATTGTTCATTCAGCTTCCACAACCACTAGCTCTTTGAAACCTTTTATATTGTTCCACTGAGCTATATTGTTTTATTGGATCATTGAAACTAACTTACTGCTTCTCAGCTAATTTGCTGTTAAACAATGATACGTCAAAAAATACTTCGCTTTTTAATTCATTTACTTGTTTAACTTGGAATGATCTAGACTTTGATAGAGTGTGCACGTTTACAAACATTTGGTCGTTACGGTCTACAACAAATACAAGTTGATTGCCGATATTTACAAATTCATTTGTGGCATTTCGTAAATGATGAAAAGTAGGTCAAATTTTTTGGGACTGATTAATTAATAGAATTATTTTCTTCTCATAGTAAGTCTAAGGTTCTTTGATATTTAAACGAACATCGATCATGTTTGTATAACGCTATCGACAAATAATTTTATAATTCATGAGGATTTCAAGTAGTTTGGATGTAAGTAACGCAGGCATTTCTAGATTAGCAGAACTGAATATATGTGTGCTAACACTAAATAGTACACTCTCCATAAGTGACCTGCGAAATTATGATGTAATATGAACCATGAATGTTCTGGTTCTGACCAAGTTATTGATTTGACGTGTTCTGGAACTTTTTGATGCACACTGATACTATTCACACTTGTTTACTATGTCTTTGAACGTCCATTTCTGGCCATTATGCGTAATTGCGTGCAATTGATTTCATTCTGGTTATTCCTGGATGTTAAGTATGAAATTGTTTAAGTACTCTCTTCTGTGATGCTTGTGGTATAACCACAAATTTTCCAAACATAAGGCAGTTTCTAACTGTACATAGAGATTGCCGTTGTTGAAATAGGTGTTTTAGTTTTTCATCTAAAGACGATGGCCATTTATTTTGAAGGTAATGAATCGCTTGTTGAAGGGTCGAGTCTTGTGACATCTGTTACTTGGCAAGCTGCTATGGGGAGGGGTTATCACTCCATCCATGAAACGTTTGTGCAATCAGCGACACAATCGTCGTTAGTAATAGGGTAATTACTTATTAAGCGTGATATAGTGTCCGCCCGACAAAAATCTTCTGCCCTATAGTACTGAATATCAAAGTGATCTCGTAGCAACGTCATCTCCCACCTCTGCAGTTGGTTTGCCGAATGCGCTGCTACTTCGAACCTCGAGCCAAAAACAGTTAGTAAGGGCTTGTGAGTCAGTCAACAACGTGAAGCATCTTCCATACAGCATTTTGTGAAAAACAACCGCTAACGCTTTTTTTCGATCTGTTTGTAGCATTTCTCTGTTAATGTTAGTGATCTGTTGCGTGCATTACTACTTTTTCCACTCCATTTGGAAATTAGTGTGAAATTACTGCCCCCCACACCACATGCAGACGCATCTGCTGTAACCATTAATGGCATTGTAGGATCGTAATGAGTTAGTAGACGGTGGGATCTAAATAGTGCATCAATTCTTTGAAAGATAGTTGACACTGCTTTGTCCATTCCCGTTTAGTATTCCTTTCAAGTGGATGATTAAGTGGTGTTTGCTTTCCATGCAGGGGTGGAAATAATGCGGAGTAATAACTGACGAGTCCGAAGAACGATCATAGAGTCGGTAGATTGTGTGGAACAAGTATGTTCTTCATAACGAATATGGAAATAATAGGTCAGAGAGGAAGTCTTTTTTAAAGGGGCTGTTGAAGGAGAAAGATGGATACGCCACAAGAACCAGATACGTAGAAGACTCATCAGAAGGAACCAAAACAGCTTTAGAAACTATCATTGACATTTCTAAAGTTTCAAAAGAAATACCAAGAACGATACAAGGCGGAACAGAAGTACTATCACAGGAATCTACAGAAAAGTTATTACCACGGAGAATTAAATAACTACGAACGAAGACCGTCAAATTTAGAAGCAGTGAAGGAATCCCCAAAACGGAGAGGTGCTAAGGAGGTCATAAGAATAGTCAGATTTTATTAGAAACGCTAAAACTTCATCTGGAACGATAACCTCTCTCATATTTTCTGCCAATTCGATCCCTCATGACCTTTGCCCACTGATCAATTACAGTCCTAAACATCATTAGAACGATTCAAACAAACAATACTAAATGAAATTAAAATTTATTGTTAATTAGATCATTCTGTCTGTTCTATTAACTGAGAACTGAAAAATGAACTGTCATTGCTCGTAATGGATCATATGAGTGTACATTTTTGGTTTTGATTAGTGTATATAATATCAGTTCTGTTTTGATGCTTGAGCCCACACTGCATATTAAGAATAATGCATTTCTTTTCTCCAGGCTTATTTGTATGTTACTAGAAGATGTGATCTACAGTGTTGTTCAGCGTTGCGTTGATCCATGTTTCATGGAAGAGAGTGTAAGTTTCAGTAAATTTTTTAAAAGTGACTGTTAAGATATTATATTACTCTAAAGAAGGTATTCAGTAATATATATGCTACAAATGTTCTGTAAAGATATCCGCTTTCTCTGTCTAACTTCGCTAACAAAACCTCATGCATTTCTCAAAACCTATATCACTGCAAACATCTTAACTACCTGTTCTAATTGGTGCTCGAATGATTGACTCCAAATGGTAGAACATTGTTTGTCTAGTTGGTAGAAGAGTGGTACAGTTGGATGAATATTGTTGGCTTTGAGTAAAACCGAACGTTTTTCACTTTGTACGATTTTATTATTTTACATTATTAGGATGAGTTTGCGAAGTGGTACGCATTCACTCGCCAATATAACTGAGGTTGTCGATTTATATTTAATACATTTAACCGTCTATATTCGTTTTAGTATAGACCCTAGTTTACTCTTTAGTTTTTGATGTACAAGATACAGTATCAAACCATTCTACTTTATTTGAACTAGAGGGAGCAGTGACCTGGTGGTCAAAATATTTGGCTTATAAACACTAGATCGTAGCTTTAGACCCACTTTATCGACTTCGGTTTGAGCAGTGTGGCAATAGGTCACTAATCCTCATACCTAAAGTTTGGTTCAAGGCTCTGTACATCAATTTGTAATTGTTATGTGTACTATTAATTTTTACAAATATGAACTATTTTCATCATATGGAGTATAGATATTGGTTATTATTTTTATTGTCCGACAAAGTTAATCATCTTATTCAGTGGAGTCTTTATCATCAATGTAGGATGTTGAGGATAATATCCTGAATTAAAAAGATACTCTTGTGGTTGTTAAATTTACTGGTCTCGGAATATTTATATTTGGTTAATATATAAATAGTAAGTGGTCATACAGTGTATATTAATTAGCTGAGGTTAAAAAATCAGATACAAGGTGCTAAGCTTAGTAACAACAATCAACTTTCAGCACAGACAAACTGAAAATGACCAGGTCAATTTGACTGAGTGCTGTTTGGGATTAACGGATGAAATCCAATAAGCGAATTCTAGGATCAAAATTTAGTTACTTATGAGTAATACATTTACAATAAAAGAATTTCACTACGATGCTTCGCCTTATCGTACTGAGTATGCAATCAATGACACTTAATCGTTCAACGTCCAGCGCATGTTACTACTCGTGGAGGAGCATCAGCCGACCACCAGCACTCTCCACTCAGCCCTGCCCTGGGCAATCCTTTCCAGCTCTTTCCAGTTGCTATTCACTCTTTTTATACCTGCTATTTCAGGACGTAATGTGTTTTTTGGTCTTCCACTTTTCCTTTTCACTTCAGGATTCCAAGTTAGGGCTTGCCTCGTGATGCAGTTTGGTGATTTCCGTAATGTATGTCCTATCCACTTCCATCGTCTTCCCGTGATTTTCTCTTCAGCTGGAAGCTTGTTTGTTCTCTCCCACAGTAGGCTGGTGCTGATGGTATCCGGCCAATGGATGTTGAATATCTTGCGTAGACAGTTGTTTATAAATACTTGTATATTTTTGATGATGGTTTTAGTAGTTCTCCACGTTTCAGTTCTGTACAGTAGAACTACCTTTACGTTCGTATTGAAGATTCTGATTTTGATGTTAGTTGAAAGCTGTTTTGAATTCCATATGTTCTTCAATTGTAATAATAAGGTCCTTGATTTACCAATCCTCGCCTTTACGTCTGCATCTGATCCTCCTTGTTCATCGATGATGTTTCCCAGGCGCGTGAAGGATTCCACCTCTTCCAGAGTTTTGCCATCAAGTGTGATTTGGTTGGTGTTCTCTGCGTTGTATTTGAGGATCTTGCTTTTTCCTTTGTATACGTAGAGGCCTACTGATGCAGAAGCTGCTGCTACACTAGTTATCTTCATCTTCATTTGTTCGTGTGTATGGGATAGGAGGGCTAGGTGATCTGTGAAGTCCAAATCTTCTAAGTGGTTCTGAGCTGTCGAATGTATTCCGTGCTTTCCGTTTCTTTAGCTTCAGTTTCTTCTTTGCCATCCCCAGGTGATGATCTGAAGCTATATAAGCTCCTCTCTTGGTTCTCACATCTTCCATTGTCCTTCGGAATTTTCTGTTGACACAAATATGATCTGTCTTGCTCTCTGTGGTGTGGTCCAGTGAGATCCATGTAGCTTTGTGTATGCGTTTAAGTGGGAATATTGTGCCACCTATACCCAATTTGTTGAATGCACGTAGGTTTGCAAATCTCTCCCCAATCTCGTTTCTTTCTCCTAGTCCATATCGTCCCATGATATCTTCATATCCGATGTTGTTTATTCCGACTTTGGCATTTAAATCTCCCATCAGAATGGTGAGGCTTTTTCTTGGGCACTTCTCTATGATTGACTGCAGCCTCTCATAGAACTGATCTTTATCGTTTCTGTTGCTATCGTTGGTGGGTGCATAACATTGGACAATATTCATTGTAATTCCATCCTTCTCTGTTTTGAATGATGCTTTGATGATTCTGGATCCGTGAGATTTCCATCCTACAAGTGCATTTCGTGCTACTTTGTAGAGTATTAGAGCAACTGCCTGAGTGTGTGGAGCGTTTTTCTCTTCGTGATCGGAGTATAGCAGCATCTCTCCCGTGTCTATCCTTTGTTGTGCAGCTTGGGTCCCGTTGGTTTCGCTAATTCCCAGTACTGCCAACTTGCATCTCCTCATTTCCGTTGCTATTTGACTGGTCTTCCCGGTCTTCCTTTATTGTTCGGACGTTTCATGTACCTATAAAAATTGTTGTTCTGGTTGTTAGAAGGGGCATCGATCTCGGCTTTCATCCTGAGGCGTCATGATTCTTCCTTCAACTCCCAGGGCAGAGTTTAAACGGTTTAATTTTTTGAATCTGGTCGACATTTTCTAGCAAGATTTTTTCTACAGGTTTGGGTTCCCGACCTCATGCCCAGCACTCCTCATTTTCCCGGGATCGGCATCGGCAGAATGACACTTAATAGCTTAGTAATTATGTTCCATCATCTGTTAATTTACTCTTAATATCAGATTTTCAGTGTATTTATAATGAAACAATCTATTGATTATGAATATTTTAAAATTTCCATCAGGGTAAGTCAGGTTTTTTTTCACGTACTTAATGTTAATCTCTCCTGTGCTTTTGCTCTTGTTTTAGGTTGTCGAAGCGATTTGTGATCGAGCATAAAGTTAATTAATTATTGCTTAATTCTTGATAATAACCATTTTGTTCTCGAGTTGAAGAAGAAAATAATCAGTGCGTAACTTCTTTTTTTCGGTGATATTCTTTCATCAATGATTGTGGGATATTTTCATCCGTTTATTATTATTATTATTATTATTATTATTATTATTATTATTATTATTATTCTCACCATTATTGAATAATGATCCGTTTTTCTTTTGGTGTAGGAAAAAGTTAAATTTTAAAATTCTAATTGTAAATTATTTGTCATATCGAAATGTTACAAATTCCTGTCTCGTTTTTTTTAATTATTTTTGTACTGAGAATTGTTTAGCTGTGCTTTCCGATACTTCGATGTGATGCTTTTTGTTTTATAAATGTTCACTATCTAACTTATTGTTTGATATTAGTTTGAATTTTCGTACATATTTACTATTTTGTTGTTGTTGATACAATAAACCCTTATGGTCTCACTTTTTTAGTCACTTTTTTGTTTGAGGTTTTCTTTAAACGGCGATTTCTTCGCGAACTTGCTTAAGTATGGTAAGAATATTCGAGTAATTGACATTCAGGTTAAACATATAGATAGTAAATCTGTACCAACTTACACTAAAAACACCATGCTCCCAGGAGTTGGACGGGACAGTGATTAAGTCAGTTTGTAATGCCTACCACCAATGAAATCCATGACAGTTTAATTCTAGTAGATTAGCCTGAGGTACATTGGCAAACGTCCTTCTAGACTGAAATAAACTAGTCTCAGAAAGGAATATAAAATTGTTACAGATCATTATATTCTCAGGGTATTTTATCAAGATGACACGAAGGTAACAGTTAGATTATTATATGTCTATTATTAATCTTTTTTAACTTAAAAATGCTTCAACCACAAACCAATAAAACCGAAATGCGCTGCCAGAAAATGAACACGCATGCCAATTATTAAATCAAAATCATGACAATAAGGCAAACCATACTATTAGTAGTTCGCATCTGTAAACGTTTATGTAATATAAAATAATACAGATACAACAGAGCAGTAGTAGTTATATTTTCAATTTTGTTAGAGGAAAGTATTTGTGGAAATAAATATCTGGTCGCTTGGTTAAAGTCTGGTTTATTCTTGCCAATTTTCGTAAAGAAATGCACTGAATTCAGAGAAGTCAATCATTTGATTACAATTCTTGTCAACACTTTGCATCCAACGATTTAAAGCGTCCTCAGATACACGACGATATCCTAGTTCCCGTAAAACGTTTCTGATTTCATCTAGTGATAATTGTCCTGATCTATCTTGGTCGACTTCATTGAAGGTTTTCCTCCATTGTTCAACACTAAATATTCATAATGTTAAGAATTAGTTTTAAACATTACATAATTGGGATAAATCATTCAGATTCTTTCGAATATCAATTTGTGCAACATTTGTGAAAGTACTAGATATTCTTGTAGTATTGATCGGAATAACCAGAACCAATTGTTATTTAAATCCTTTGAAGGATTATACGATAACAATATTCAGGTCTGCCCGCTGATTACATCAAAACTTCCAGCAGTCAATAAACACTGATGTTAAACTGACTGCTTCATGTTTTTCTACAGCACTGGTTTTTCAAAACTAAGGATTACATATATACAGTCCTGTTTCTTTTGTGTCGTACATCTGTTAATACATGCAATTCGGTAACCATTCATTGGTTCACCTACCGATGTTAATTATTCTACCTAATCGGAGTAGTTAAAATAATGAGTTTACTTTAAGTTTGTGGTCTCTAGAACTGGAGTGGCCTGCTTAAAAGTACGAATCTATTTCGATCATCCAAGAAGTGGATTAATTTTAATCTATCGCTATTCAATTAGGAGTAATCTTACAAATATTGTGATTACATGTAATAAAACTAGGTATAATGTTTTAAGTGGGATGCTTGTAAATTCACTCAAATATTTTTCAAATTTTGAACAACTGCTAATCATTAAGCAAGGTGCTAAAAATTATTTCTGTGCTAAATGTTTCTTGTTCTTCCCTCAAGGTAACTACAGCGAAGAAAATCATAGGAAATGTCTCCGAAAATTATTAGGATGAAATGTTACTAAATGGAACATTTAATGTCAAAAATTGGTATTATTTAAATTAGAATAATCAATAGATTTTCTAATCTATCGTGATTTAATTTGTTCTTGTTTTAATGTAACATTCCAGTAAACTAGATCAATGTAGACTATGAAGTTGTGATGTCTATTACATACTCTCTGATAATGAATGAACCTCAGTGACAGATGTTCTCATGTAAAATCATCTGATGAGATCAATATTAAAACATTAAAAACCTGCAAACCATGGACAGCCGTTTCGTTCTAATACAGCACTCTTCAGCGGCGCACGCCGTTTTGAAAGCAGTACCTCCGATCTCAAGCAAACGCTCAACTTCTACACTAATGATTCTACATCTAACGGTGTTAATGTCTGACTTCAACTAATCCACGATGTTTCGCGACCATCGATTGTCTTCAGCGAGTAACTGCTTCACACCCGACACGGTTGAACTCCACTGGCCTCGGCTTCTCACTGGGACTTCGAGAATCCCCTCTCAAAACAGCCGTCCAGTGCTTCCAAATTTTCATGATCTCAATAAAACCCAACAATCACCACAACCCTATACTGGTAAGATTATAGGTTAGAAGAAAATGAATATCATGTTCTGTACAAAAATGTGGAATGATTTGTGAAAACATCTAGACTCTGTTTCAACCCATATTATGTATAAATACTAGTAAATATTAGCTCTACAACAATATTTTGAAATGTTTCATCAATGCGTAAGTATTTTTTTAGTCTCAATATTCCCTGAAACAAATTCAACGAAACACCGATATTGCGAGGAAACATAATGTTTAAAATTGGTCTAATGATTCAACTAGGGTTGTTATTAATATGTCGTTAATTCAACAACACAATAACATTTATTATATCATCACTTACGAGCTAACGAAAAAAACTTGTCCTTAATAGATATTGTTACTCAAAATTGTCTCTTACTAGTTACTATCACGGTAACGAGTTGACCGACGCATGATGTTATCAATATTTCTTTATTCTTTACATAATTCATGATCATATGGATAGCTAAATCATGTTATTTATTGAGTGACTAGTCACTGAATACTTGCATTCATTATGATTAGCTACCCGAATGGTTGCCCGGTAAAAAAACTAAAACGCTATTTATGTAGTAATCCTAGGGATTAAAAAAGAACTTTTCAAGTTTGTGTGGTTTTTTATTAGTACAAAAATAATAAAATAATGCAATAAAAATTCACTTTCAGTATTTGAGAGGTTGGTTATTTGGATTTGTTTTTATGGCGATAACAATTAGATGGTAATAAAGTATTAAATTAATTCCTGTCTGGATTTTAAATTCTTACATATAGATGGATATTTCATTTATATAAAATTATAATTTCTTTGTGTAAATGTCATAAAAGATCAGTAAGTTAGTAGTTAGAAACTTTAATTTGAATTTAAATGTCTCTACAATGTAACTATGATTAGGAGTATTTCTTAGGAAAATTAGCTTGACTAATTCAATAGAAACAATGGGTGAAAGTTAAATAAATAGGAATTTATTAGAAATAGATCTTATCAAAAAAAATTAGTTAGCTGAAGTTAGACATTAACACCGTTGGATGCCGGCTCAATGGTTTAGTGGTTAGGCGTTTGCGCTCGAGACTGATAAGATGCGGGTTCGAATCCTCCCAGGGGGGGGTCGTGCATGCGCACTGCTGAAGATTCCCACAATAGGACGAAACGGCCGTTCAGTGCTTCCAGGTTTTCCATGGTGGTCTAGCTTCAACTGACTCGTGATCTCAACTATTGAAATTTTAATATATACTGCGGATATTAACCGTCATATCGAAACGTTTGTGATCGCATTATCTTACATGTGTGAGAGCGTGGAAGTCCTAATAATCAAACGATATGTCACTTACAATAGATCGTTAGGGTGACTGAAATTGCTTTTCAATCAGGAATAATGTACTGATTTTTAATAAACATTCACAGAAAATATCTAACCTTTGGCAATGTAAGAAATTTACAAATACAGCTATTAATGTTTATGTATTTGAAACTGGAAATAAAAGCGATCAAATGTAACAGAAAATATTTAGTTTAAAACGACTTCCAGTATATATTAAGTAACGGGTGAAAGAATAAATAGGAATAATCATTTTGGGTAGTAACACATATTGAGGAATACAATTGAACTTTTGCTGACACTTAAAATCACGAATTAACGCTATTCAGTTATTGTCAATTTTTCATGACAATTGTAGAATGCATGTTAACTATACTTTCAAAAATTAATTAACTTTAAATGAATCTGGGTTATGAGATTTATTTATATTTATTATTGAAAATTGCATTTTGTAACATCTACTACTAATAATTATTCAATGGTTATTTATTTTATTTTATTGTTTTAGTTAAAGAACATAACTGTAGTTTGTGTTTTTTCTCCTAATTAAACTGTTTTTAATCTTTACACACTATTCATGAACTTTCGATCATATATTTTTAAATATGGTCTGTTAGTTACTCTTGAATTTACCAAGTTTACATTTGTGTAAATGGCGTTACATTAAAAATAGTAGGATTTGAATAAATAATCTTCAACAGATACACCGGTATATATATATATATATATATATATATATATATATATATATATATATGAGCTGGATGGTAGAATTTTGTGCTGATGACGTCATTCAGAAGAACGATGAAAGCTCCACGACAAAACCATCTAGCTCAGAGAACAAAATTCCATCAAAATCATCCATCTGAGTTACAAATCCCCACCATTTCAATATATATATTATGAAATTACTTGATTTTCGAATAGTTCATTTTTATATAATTTAGCTTTGCAAATTTTTTGCGTTGATAAACTCTGCTAGTGAATAAACATTATTATCTAATGTTTATATAAATAAATACATTTTTTAGAAATAAATTTATTCAATAAGAAGATATTTGTAAAGATTTGTAAACTTGCAAGTCTACAGATTGTAAAATTCTTTTTGATTTTTCAAGCATTGAACATTTATAATAACATGTAACCTACTAATAAGTTAAATTGAATATATTTATGGTTGGTAGT